TTCGGTCCTCGAGGATGACCGAGCCGAGGCTTGCCGGTGACATAACCGTTTCGGGTTAGTGTCCTCTTAACGGGCTCCGAGGGAAAGATTTACCACTTGCGAGAGATTTACCGAGGCTGAGCCCTCGATCGGGGTTCGCCAGCTGCGAATCGAGGGATGCTTCCGGTAACGGAAGAAATATCGTTCGCGGATTCAGATTCGCTCCTTGAATTAACTTTGAATGATAATTAGCGAACACCCAGAAAAATTCATTGCGATTATATCCATCTACTTTAAGTAACAAAAAAAAAACGAAATATTGTTCGCGAATTCAAATTCGCTCCTTGAATTAGCTTCGAATGATAACTAGAGAATACCCAGAAAAATGTATTGCGATTGTATCCACTCATTTTATGTAAAAGAAAACAAAAGAGATTAATAAAGAAGGAGGTATGTACGTTTTCGTGTTGTTCGAGTAGGAGGGCGAATGCATATTTCTTTTATCATGTAATTATCCGTGGATTAAATTATTGGTTTGGATTAATTAATGTTCGAAAGTACTTGGGAGTGGAACGAGATTTTGCTATTCGGCTTTGGAGAAATTGAGATCTCTCTTCGCGACACTCTCGAGTGTTAATCACCGCAGTCTAATTACTATGGTAACGCCGCTTTGATGTCTGAGTTGCGTGATCGTTATTAATGATATCGATGATCTCTCAATGAACTCGATCGCGGTGTTCCACTTTGATTGAAGCAGTTAGACGCCGTTCGTCGGTTTCCTGAAACGAGGAACTTTCGATAGAATTCGAAAAAAAAATCCCAAGACGGATCCCGATGTGGAAAGGGTTTACGATAATCGAATTTGTAGCAACGGTCAATAATTATTGTTGCCACTCCTCGAATGACTGAGCGACATACAATTTCTTGTTGCTAGAAAAAAGAAAAAAGAATATCACAATCACGAATATAATTTCTGTTGTCCCGGGAAAGTAATGTTTTTCTTTACAATGGATATAACAAAAATGTTTCTGGACGTAAATTTCGCCGGCCCATTTCCAAGGATTCACAACTGTTGAAGCAAGTAAAATGTCTTGTAATGACTGCGAATTTTTATTCCGCGGGTGCAAACCGATTAAAAAGCCAAACTCCTTTTCTTTGCCGGGTTTTCGGGGGTTGGCCGTGATCCTCCTCGACGATTTCTCGAAGGTTAATTATCACCAAGTCCAGTTACCTACTTATGCTACCGTCTCCTTGTCTTACAAGTCCGGCGATCGGTATTAACGATATCATCAACTTGGCGACGAGCTCGATCGCGCTCCACTTTGTGCCGATTAAACGTCACCGTTGATCGGTTTCCTGAAAGGAGTGCCTTCCGATGAACCACACGCGCGAACTTGAAGACGGGTGGTCCCGATAAGCCGGGAATTCGTAATAATCGATATCGATGTCGGGGAAGGCGAGTCGATCGGAAAGTCTCCTTCCCTCGCGTGAACTGTGCAGAAACGGAGGCGCGCGATGTCGGATATCTCCTGGAAGTGTGTGGGATGTTCCTGGGTCTCAATTAGAGCGCTGACGTCCGTTAATAGGAGAGGTCGTTAACTGCTCGTGGCTGGAACCGGTGAATACACTTACCGGCGCGTTTGCGGATGAAGAAGGTGGACCCTCGACAAGAGAAGTGCCCACTTCGCCGGCGCTCCGCAGATTTTATCGGGAAATCGGCCGCGATTACGCCACCCGAATCGACCGATCGGCTGATTAATCGACGCCGAGGAAATTAGCGAACTGGAAAGTTAGCAATTCCCGACACGGTGCCGAGAGATCGCGATCATCACGAAGGATCTATCCGCACTAAGGACGAAGCTGATGATCGAGTTGCTGCTAGGACTACGAAACAGCGATAGAAGATAAGAAATGCAGAAGAAATGCTACCGGTTGACTCCATTGGATTTAATGATTTCTAAAGATTGCGGGACGCAGGGTTATAAGAAAATTAAGTTTTCCAGAGTCGACAGGCCCTCTTCCCAAAGAGGTTTTCAAACGTCAATTTTGGATGATAATCGATTTTCAGGTCGAGAGGGGTTATGAAGGATGCGTTGTCTGAGAATCTTTAACCCAATTTAGCGGGAATTTTCGATTGGCAAGGGACAAGACCTGAGGAACTATCCTATAACCGTGAACGATGATTCCTACATGGCAGCAAATTTTACCCAAGTCGCGAGTTCGTCGTGACGGAAAATCGTCGATCGTTGAGAAGGGTATCAATCGATGATCCAGACATCGACCGTCGAAAGTCTCACGCTCGGATTCCTCCGGCTCTGTCACGAGCTTCCTCGAACTCCTGCGGAGCCTCGCTAGATTGTGAAAGAGCTCGCACTTGGGATACTTTTTCCACCGAGCGAGTCGCGCCTTGAATCGCTGCCGTCTGTCTAGGCGGAGATAAAGCCGCCTTGTTGCGACAAGCGGCTGCAATCCTGCGCGAATCGACCGATATAGACGATCGGAATTGACCAAGATTCGGAGAAGCCTTGACTGGAGCGACTCCATGCTTCCACAAAGATCCTTCACGTCGTGTCTTCGATGGAGAAGTCGGTCACGCCCATGTCGGACAGGATGGCGTTAAAATCGTCGGTCCAGTTTCTAAACGTTCCTGCCCCTCACAGAAGTTTATTTACCTCCTAACCGAGCCTGGTCTATAAACCGAGAAATTGATCGCGTCATTATTAAGCGCGTTAATATGTAGAGGATTTTAATGGTCGCGAGCAGAAGCGAATGGTAATAAGGTACGATTTTATTGCCCCCCCGCTGGACGGAGATCGAGAAACGATTTTAGATTTAAAAGACGCGTGATTAATGAACGAGCGCTACTCAAGTCCTTCCCAATCGACGGCAAAATGAACGCGTTAACACCTTGTCCTACAATGTCTACAAATTGTACACTATTCAGATTGATTGGCTGATTAAATCTTCATCTCTTCTTATCTCCATCCCCGATTTTTGCTTCGCTAACATTTCGCGTATTAAAGCCAACCATCATCAGCAGATCTCATTGGCGTGGATTAACCGGTAACCTTATAAGATCATTGAGTTAATGGGGGATCACACCTTGTTCGGGATTAATTACACGAAAATTGGCTGGATAGGTGGCACGGGCAGGTAATAATCTCCCAAGATCCGCAGGTACGATGCTACCGTTTGTCCAACTGATAGCATTTAGAACTCAATTTGAAAGGAAATGGAGAAAGTCGCGGTAATAAAAGTGCAAAAATTCGGACCACCACGTGGCCAGCCCAAGATGTCCTTGAATCGATGAGATGAGCTGCAGCAAAATGTTGCATGCTACCGCAACGTTCGTGGCAGTTCCAGTAGCCACTCGGGAAGCGATAGAGACAACTCGCGACAACGAGAGACAACGCTGATCATGGCCTGCATTAGCTATGGCTGTCAAGCGGAGAACGGACAAATTGCACCTCGCTTGATACCACCTCACGGCATATCGGCTTCTTTGCCTGTCCCAGCTCGCTACCTCTAAGAAAACCGACCTTCTCCGGCGAACCGTAATTGTCCCCGAGGAAGAGTCACTTAGGCTGGCAACCCCGAGGCAAGTAGTCCGGTCTGGACAAGGCACCGGGTGCGGTGTCTCCTAATGTCATATTCCCATGACGTTGGATCACGATCCTAGGTGCTCGTCCACGTTGCGCGTTTCAGAACTTCAGCTATGACTTTTACCAACAAAGCGCGTGTTTGGTTGTGGACAGCGGATGCAATGTAGCTGTACCATTGCAAGAACTAACGCATTATGTTAACCGGCCCCAAGACCAGGCTCTACCCTCAGCAAGTGGCGACCGACATCGGACCACGCAACGAAACGTGACGAAGATAACGTCGATTAAAACCGTCCCGAAGATTGGTCATGCCTGCTAAACCAGCAACGTATAAATTACCCCTGTTCGATGCCACCTTGCCGGTGGATCTTCGGTTTCTTCGAATCCAGAGGGATGTCTCGGAAGTGCCGAGCCTCTCTCTTCGGATCAAGGCGTATCGGATTCTTTCCGCGTCTTCGGGATTCAACGTTATCCTGGAAACCGTAATCGCGGAAGAGAAGTCGCTTACGGAGCTGGTAGACCGTGGATGATGACCGTGTACTCCCATCGGCATGTTTTAAGCAACGTTAGATCGTGCATATGCATTTCGAGGATGCTCCCCGGGGTGCATGCCTTCAGGGTGCCTGCATAGGGTGGGTAGGATTTAGGACTTTCGAGGGAACTTTATCGGAGACTGATTGAGCAGCGATCGATCGGACCACTAATTACGGAAGATTAACAACGTTAATAACTCGTGGAAGATGATTGAGTGTTTCTCTTCGTCAGTATTTAGCTCAGGACTGAAACGCATGTATGCGCGGATGGCCAAATGGACGGCTGGCTAGAATTGAGGGTTTCACATCGAACTTTGTCGGAAGAGAGGCCGATAAATACTTCCCTGAGTGAGGCGTTTGACGTAGCCGTTAATTATCTAAACCTGTCAAATGTTGACGTGCCGTCTGCGGAAATAGCTCGTCGCTGCGTAATTTTGAGCACGAAAGGTGATCATACCGCGAAAACGAAGGTGCCTTTTAATTTCCAAGGGAAGACCGCCAGATCGGCGGAAATCTGTATCCGTCTTAATGCTACATTAGCTAAGTAAATATATAACTGTCACAAATGGTCACCATTTTTATAAAACGTTAAGGCAGTACATGTCTGTTATGCATTACTTATATTTGATAATTCTGAATATGTGTGAAGTAACAAATAATTCAATGAAAAGTCCACGGATCTCAATCCGAAATAAATCTTATGTAAACGGCAAAAATTTAACAGCGACGAGATGTCACTGGAAAGTTTTTCTTTCCGTGGAAGTCAAGGAATTAAATATATGTCATTATTTATAAATCTCCGTGGGCAAAAAGCGAAGAAAAGCAATCATAATGAATAATTATATTATATTACCGTTGTAATATATTTCATTTCATTAAATTTCAGCTATCTTCCAGAGGACGTCGGTGTCGCGGGGCCAACTCAGGATCCAAGGTGTTGCCACCTGCCTTTTTCTGTGCATGGACTCCTGCGGGCTTTTGTACAGCTCGGTAAGTAGTTTCTTCCACCTTAGCCTTATTAGTTTGTGGGGCGATTTGCTGCTAAACGGACCGTGTCGAAAGAAAACGGGGCGCAAGGTTTTTCCTCGGGCCTCGGTTTATGGTGATTGGTGAAGAAGGATCCCTCGGTCCTTATAAGGAGAGCCGCTAAGTATTTGCGAGCTCTTCGCCTCCGTCTTTCCTGGAGTCCTTTTCGTCCTCCGGCGCCTTTCCTGGGGTCCTTTTTGACTGCCGCCGCCGCCATGGTGTCCAGCAACGGGGGAGAACATTTTTTGGCACTGTTTCATTATTCATACAATTAAGTACGCCCAACTGCCCGCCGTTCTACCTTGAGGGTATTAAAATTTTAATTGTGCCATCAATAAACTCCCACCGTCCGGTGTCGATATTTATAGAGGCGGGGATGGATTTGGATACAATGGGTCTCGACTTGGGGAGGAACCTCCAAATGTTCTCGGAATCCGTCAGATCCAGCTCCCGAAGGGGACGCGACTACCCGGCAGAGATTCATCCTCACGGAGTCCTTGAAAGCGCGAACAGGTCATGTATCCGAAAATATGGCCGCGTTATTTACGAAGAGATTAAATGAATTATGGGTCGTCGGTCGACGGTCCTCGACTTGGAGAGGAACGCTTCGAGTACCCTTGAAGTCCTCATCCAAGGTAGAAGAACCGATAGCTTCTCTAGGGTATATCCTAACGGAGTCCTTGAAATGACTAGCAACTCGTATATCTAGCAGTACACATCATGATAAGGTAATCGCACCATCGACAAACTTCTACGGTCCAGCAATGGCGTTTACGGTGTCGCAGGTGGACGCGCCACCTCATTCGGGAAGCGTGTCAGAGATGCATGGACAAATGTACCGGCTGCATTGCGGACAATTCGAGAGGTGGAAAAAAGGCTCGAAGAGGGGAGGAGCCCGACAGAAACGTCTCTCTTACGGCCTTAAGTGAGTTCTTCTGGGAGCTCTTCTGGCGAGAACGTAGGCCTTCTCGTGACCACCGATTCTCCCTCGAGTGGCCCGATCCACCAGATGTTCTTGCAGGGACCTTATGTAACTCTTCCGGACGCGGAAGCTCCTTGGCGGGCGTGTGCCCGGGGGAATGCGAGGCTTATTTATGTGTACGAATGTACTTCATGACCCCGAAGAAGGAGTCGGGCTCTGTAGAACTTGCAATTGATGGATGGCGCCTGCAACCTCGAGGCGGTAAAGTCTTACTTCCAAGATGTCGTTTCCCGAGAAGAAACGAAAATGGATCCGACCTCCACGAGGAAAGTGATACTTCGTGATCCCGATGGAGTAGGACTTTGCAGAAGTGGCGCGCGCGCAAACACGAAATCTTGAAGTCTCATTTCTGGAAAGTGATACTCATGACCTCGAAGAAAATCTCTTTCTTTGTAGAAGTCGCTCCCAATGAATGGTACCCTCGACCATATCGACGCCGACGTCCTCCAAGTTGTGAAGTCACATTTCCAGGATGTCGTTTTTCAAGAAGAAAGGAAAATGAACTGAAATTACTTTATGATCCTACAGAAAGAGTCGGACTTTGCAGAAGTGGCGCCTGCAGCCTCGAGGTGTTACAGTCTCGCTTCTGTCTTTTCTTTTACAAGAAAACAAAAAATTGACCCGACCTCCACACGAGGAAAGCAATTTCCAAAGTGAAACTCTTCGTTATTCCCAAGTGTCTGGACTGGGGAGAAAAGACCTAGAAACGGAACCCTGAAGTACAAATAAATTTATCGCAGAAAATTACGATGAAGAGACCGCGTCTCGTGGCATCAATTATGTAACAAACCGGTATAATGAGTTGCGAATACCGATCTCACGTGGATTATCGAATTACCTACCTGTTGAATAATTGTATTCGCAACGCAGTGGGCAGTTGTTCGATGTAATTTAAACTATTCGAACATCGCGGAGGAACAGGAGGCGACGTCGGTTTTCCAGGGAAGTTCTACCGTTGTCCCCAGAGGCCTTTGCACGTTTAACACGCGTTCTTCTCCAGGCGTCGTTGGGCCGACACCTCTAATTACCCGAGTCGTTACCTTTTTACCTATTTCCTTCGAGCACGAAAAGCTACCGAGACTCGATGAATCACCTCGCCCGACGTCGCGGTTACTCGCGATCTTTCTTTATTTTTCATTCCCCTGTCTCGCGTCCCCCTTTCACTTTTTGCCCTCTCTGGTTCTTACTTTCATTAAATTAACTGTTTGGAATTGCGCTTTCCATTCCACGGGTTTACCTCGTCCTCCGTGTAAAACTCTTCCTAACTCTAAATATACGCGTTAAAAACATGATATACACATATTAGCAGTAGTACATGTATAAGTCAACGTTAAAAATACTTAGAAATTTGTTATGACGATTGAAATTACCATGCAGGGCTCGTGAACGTATGAACAAGTCTCGAATTTTCTCACATTTTAACGGGAAACCTTTAAGTCGACTTCTAGAATTAAAAAGCATGAATAGAACCTCTAATACATGTTTCATAAATATATTGGAGTCTTTTAAGTACCGGGATGCTACCACGTGTCACGATAGACTATCGAATTTGCAATCAAGTATTGCTTTCCCATTTCTATTTGGTTTCTGATCCATCCTTGCTCACTGATCCGTCTAATGGGATTCCTTTGCACCGAGTTCGCCGATTTTGGATTTTTCATGTCAGACTACGCATTATAAATACCCATATATATATTGAATTTCTTTTCTCCATTGACACTTAGAAGCTTATATACGATCAAACGTGCTCACTAGAGGTATGCGTTCGATTGAACCCTAAATGGGTGACTTAATTGAAAGAATTCCGCTACCGCGAGCAAAATCTTTCCACTTGCAGGCCATCGACCCAATCGTACTTAGTCTTAGCTCGGGAACCTCTCGATAGGGACGTTAACCGGCGAAGTTTGCTCGATTTTCGCGGTTTAAAAGCGGGTCAACCCGAAAGTTAAACGAACCCTTTCGCACGTGGCCTCGGCGTTCGCGTTCCCGGGGAAGGATGCACCCGCAAACCCAATTTTAGACGGGCTCCGTCGCGGAATAAAATGCGAAAAGTCAGACAGGGTTCTCCTAAATATCTGTCTGTTACCATGCGCTGAATGACCCGAGTAAATTCCCGTTTACTCGCTTAAATCTAGCTTATGGTGCAGGAAAGAAATGTGGCGAGCGAATCGCGTCTTTTTAATTTCCTGCAGGTCATTAACGGTGACCGTGGCAGAAAAACTTCTTCACGCCTGATCATTATGGCTGCTTTTCACTAGATTGTTTAACGGGGGTGTAAGTACGGAACAATCTCAATTTATGAGGCGTCACGGGCGCCAATAAAATGCCTCGGCATACAAAATCACGACTTCCTTGTTCTGGTTTAACGAGTCCCTTACGAACTATCAAGGTCTGACAAGTTTTTAACGAGGGCTATCAATCTCGCGCGGACGCCTTATATCCACGCCGAAAGTTGAATTTCTTTAGATGGTAACTGCGGTGGTTTTTAGGTCTTTATATAATACCGAGAATGGTTGAAAATGTGGGGAGACTCCTTTAAGCTATTAGACTTTGATCGTTCAAAACGATGGAAAGTACTGAGTAACTCCTCTAATCGTGCCCATTTAAAAGTAATCTAATGCAACGATACAATCAGACCAGTATCTTATGAGGAACGTCTTACAGTACGATTTCTTCTGCTAGGAATAATTCCTAATTTTTAATAAAGCATTTATAATGTTCGAGAAAACGAAAGAGTTCCTTTAAACGGCACTTATTAGATACCGAAGGCGATCGAACGCAACGGTACAAACATATCGGTACCTTCTACGTATCACTCAACGATACAATAAATGTCCGAGGAAATAATTTCCCCTCTCAATTTCCTTTAGTTATCAAAACATTAGAGGAATGCCTGAGAACAGTTTCCCTTAATTCGAGGGATAAGTCAGGGTTCGAGATATCCGACCTCAGTCGTTGATCCTTCTTCGGGACACCTCGAGATAGAATCTCACCGGCTTCCCGCCAAAGGGAAACAAACGGACTGCATCAGCTAATTATCTTAAATACTTAATTTGTACTCCGGGAGCTCGAAAAAGGTCGCGTCGCATCCTCTCTGAATCGGTGCCTCAAAGGCAAGAAGATAGTCAAGGCAGGAAGGACCAAAGGGGAGGAAAGAAATTGCGCGACAACCTAGTTGTGTCCTGAGATCAGAGGACGGATACCCTTAATTGAGTGGGATGCCGATTATTCTCCAAACTAAACCTTTCTCCTTTCCCAGAAGCCGATGGACCCCTTTCCCTGCAGGGACTGATTTAATTAATAAATAAAAATTCATGGCCTCTGGAATGGCTACCTCCACTTAAGGGACCCGCCGAGTACTCTCGAAATTCGCGTCGACATCTGTACTTTCCCCCTTATCGTGCAACTTTGTTCTACAATTTGTCCCAGCTCGAGCATCGCGTTATCTTTACGACGGCTGAAATATTCGACTTTCATCGATACCGGCGGCAATGAAAGGCGATCATGTTCGACTCGGAATCCTCGTTCATGAGCTGGTGGGAGCAGATCACCACCCACGCGTCCGATACGCGGTCGCTTTGACAGGCCTTGATGCCCAAAATCCCGCTTTTTTATCAAGCGCCAGGAAGGGGGCTCCAAATAAAATGAAAAAGTCCTGGATGTGTAAATTAACACCTCCGGTGGAACTGGTTTTCGAGTCCTAGTATCGAGATAGGAAGAAACAGTTTAGGTTCGGAGCACATTGGATACGAATCGAGATTAACTCGCGCCGATATTTGCGATAGGGCCTTTCAGGCGTGTAAAAGGCCGGCTAATGGGATTTCGACGCCGATTTTGCAATTGAGCCGTCCAGGTCGGCAGGAGAGAACGACGTGGCTCATTTTTCAAACGTCCCGAGAGCACTCGGTCGGTCTAAAGGTGGACAACCGTGGGATGTTAGGATGAGATGGGTGGCAACGAGAGGAGAACGTTCTGCGAACTC